TTTTATTCATTACTCAATAAGAGGAGCAGCCTAGCAGTATTCATATAGAGTATACTAGAAAGCTTGATTCGGAAGCTATCTCAACCCTTAATGCCCCAATTACAGATGAAAAAATTATGAGAGTTATCTTTAAGTCATCGAAACATAAAAGTCCTAGTTCGGACGGATTTTCAGTTGAATTTTATCTAATTGCATGATCAATGGTAGGCAATGATCTGATTAAAGCTTGTTAACACCTTTTCTTTTTAGGTTGTATTCTTAAAGAAATGAATTGTACTTTTTTTCTTTGGTTCCCAAGAATGCAAGGACTGATTCATTAGTGAACAATTGGCTCATTTCATTATGTAACTTTATTTATAAGATCATCTTCAAGGTGCTGGCAAATATAATATAAAAGATTATGCATAATATTATTAGTCCTAATTAGGCAATTTTCATTAAAGGGAGAAGTATACATCATAATGTTCTTCTTGCTAATGACTTAGTAAAGGATCTGCACTCAAAAACAAGAGAGAAAAAAATCTGTTTTAAAGTTGATTTACGAAAATCCTTCGATTCAGTTAACATACACTTTATCGACAAGATGCTCCTTAGTATGAGCTTCCCTAAAAAATGGATTAATTGGATTTAATACTGTTTGGAAACTCTAAAATTCTCGTTTCTCTTCAATGGTTCACCTACTTGCTTTTTTGGGAGAAGCAATGACATTTGACAAGGAGATCCACTATCTCCTTATTTCTTTACAATTACAATGGAAGGACTTAGTTGCATATTGGAAGAGGTAGTTTCTAATGGCAACATTAAGGTACCCTATACTAGTTCCATTCATATATCCCACATAACTTTTGTTTATGTTATTATTATCTTCCTTCAGAATCACAGATGAATCTAGCTGTTATTCTAAAAGACTTTGGTATAGTTTTTGGTCTTAAACTAAATCATGTGAAAAGTAAAGTCTATGTGAGTGCTTGCACTAAAAATAAGGATTCTATTACTCAAACTCTAGGGGTTAGTGAGGAAAATTTATCAGTTCCTTATCCTAGTCTTCCACTCATTCACAAGCATTAACAAAACCCCACTATTAGCCTATCCCGTAGAAAATAAAGAATAAGATTTTTTCTTGAAAAAATAGACTTCTTCCCAAAGAATGATGACTTGAACTCATCCGATCTGTTTTGCTCCTACTCTATTTATTAGTCTAATGCATTTGTTCTACATGTTTGGCTTTTCCAAGATATTGAAAGACTACTTATGAACTTTATTTGGAATGACACAAATGGTAAGGCAACACATATGATAAATTGGGATAGCATTTGCAACCCAAAAGATGAAGGGCGATTGAATCTAAGAAATATTAGATATTGGAATAAAGCTTGTTTAGTAAAGCAATTGTGAGATATTTTATAAAACAAATATTCCTTATGTTCATAATGGATTTCTGCTAGGTATCTATCCATAGAATCAATCTGGGTAGCTTTAGCAAAAACATATCATTCTGTTGCTTGGAAACAAATTTTAAAGGCAAGGAATTGATTGGCTAATCAACAACATTTCCTATGCAAACTCTTTTGGAATCAACACTAATATGTGATATGATCCTTGTGTGAATAGAAAAAGTATATTTCAATTATTTAGTGATAGAGTACAATAAGATCTAGAAGCTCCCAAAGATTGGAAGGTTTATGAATTCATCGCTAATGGCACTTGGTGTCTTCCCAATCCTACTTTTCCTGAAATGTTATCACTTTGGCCGATTACTATAGCTATTCTAATATGGAACAACTCTTTAGATACACTTATTTGGCTTTATGACATTGGTAAATTTAGTATTACATCTACATGGAATCAAATCAAGCAAAAAAACAACAAGTGGATCCTAAGCTCAACTTTGGTAGATTTGAAAGGAGAGGTGTGGTAGAATTTTCAAGTATCTCGATATAAATAATGCTCAACTTTTGATAAAGATTCTTAGAGACCCAAGAATATGCATGGAGCAAGATCCAAAAACGGAGCACTTAATAAAAAGAGAGAAAGGAATCTTTATCGGATTTAATTTTTTTATTAGTTAATGATCTCAGGAATGATATTGAAAAGCGGTATGTATTCCATGGTTTTATGCTTCAATAATGTGATGTATTTATGAGTGGTCTAGGCATGTCTAGCCATTGTATTTTATTATTTATTTATTTATAAGAGTCATAGTCTACAGCTTGTGTAGTCATCACTATATTTTTGTTTGACTACTCTTGGAGATGAGTTTAGTAGAGTGAGATCATTCCACCTTTCTTCTAGACCGGAGATGGGTGTACTCTTCTAGACTACTCTAAGAGATTTTAGGCTTTAGTCTATGGCTTATGTAGACAAAATTATTTGGTACAAACTTCATACTTAATACAATTACTTGTACTTTAAAAAAAATAGACTTGACCCTTAGCCCTTGTCTCTTATGATAACAAGATAATATTAATATCTCATCTCAAATGGTAACCATCGACAAGCACTACTTACATGTATTTAAGATTCATAAGGGGAAGCAAGAAGCAGCAAAGAATTAATCAATGTTGAAATCAAATTCGAAAATTTTCATCTTAGAGTACACATATTTTATTTAAAATTATTATATAAAAGATTTTTATTTTCAATAAGGCTCATCAAATTTAATTTATTCCCTATTCATTCTTCCTAATTCGTAATAATGAATTTGATATGCATATTTATTTATTTTTTACTATGTGCGTGAGCATGAGGGGGCAACAACCCTCACATAAGTAGCGAAAGAGGAATGATTGCTATTATGGGATATGGTAGGAGTGCGATGACCTTGTTGAGAGTGTTGATAGAGGTCACTGGCTCTACCATGGGCAACTATTGCATAAATAATTGTGGTGCTGTGTGCGATGATTCAAGGGTGCGATAAACGATGGTGATTGTCGAAGGCATCATAACGATAGCTTGATTAAGGACTACGGGATGCAGGTGATGGTGTAATGTTAGACATCACGATTTAAAGCCACAAGCAGCATTGTCCATAGTCATCAATAAGGATGTAGCAATGAACAGGTCATGTTATGGCTTTGCACTATAGAAGAAATCCGTACAAAAGCCACCTTGAAATTTTGACCTAGTTTAATCAAAATCAAATGTTGACCCAATCCAAACCATTTTGATATTTTGTCCTAGTCAAAATCTATTTTTGATCATATTTTGACCTAATTTGGGATTTTAGATCTTGAGTGGATTTTGATTTTGATTTTGACTTGACCAAAATCTAATTTTGGATCAAATCCTGATTTTTTACCCTAATCAATTCTATCGTTGACCAATTTGCCAAATTGGATTTTACCTAATTTTTATTTTAGGTCAATTAGATTTTGATAGCTCAAAATTCAATTTTAATTGTTTACTTTGACTTGCTTAATTGTTTGGGTAGGCTATTGGTTTAATCTAAGGTGACTCGATCAATTTGGTCTGGTTTGGATAGTCCAATTATGGGTTTACTCGATAAAATATGATTGATTGACCATTTAGATATTTTATAATTTTTTTAAAAAATATAAATCATAAATTTCTTATATAATTTTCTAATATGATATATTAGTAAAATTTTTGTTTATGGTCCTTAAATTCTAATTATTATTCTTGGATATTTATAGTTATTTATATATTTAATAATTATAAATAATATTTATTTTTTATATAAGAGTATGATTTATGTTTTATAATGATTATAGTTATCATACTATTTTTTTAGCTGATTAATATTTAATAATTATTATAATTATTATTTTAGTATTATTAAGTTAATTTTGTATAAATTAGATTAATAAAAAATTAATAAATATTATTTAAAACTTATATCTTTAAATTTTATTTAATTAATAGATACCAAAGTGACCTGATGTGGTTTTGATAAGAATATAATTATCCTTTAGTACATGTACGCCAAATAACAAGTATACCATGTTAATAATCACCTTAACAAAAAGTATTCCCCAAATCACGGTTTGGACAATATTTCCTTTGGAAATTATTTTCTTTTACTGCTTGAATCAACTATAAATAAAATATACTTCATTTATTTTCGTTTCTTTTTTCACTCTCCTTATACTCCACTTTTTTTTTTTTTCGCTCTCCTCTCACTCCATCTAAAAGTTTCACTTGGGTACAACAACTTTACCTCTAAGCTAATTCTTCGTTACTATGTTACTATGTATCTAAAGGAACATTTCACTTGGGTATAACAACTTTACCTCTTAAGCTAATTCTTCGTTGCTATACTACTATGCATCTAAAGGAACATTCCACTTGGGTACAACTTTACCTCTAAGCTAATGTGTATCTAAAGGAACAAGTCAAGAAAGCTTAACATTTCAAACAAATTTTAGAGAATGTATTTTGTTGGGTACAACAACTTTACTATAATTAAGAAGATTATTTTATTATAATTATGACCTAAGTGTTGGTAAGACTATAAGGTATATCCCATAGGAGTTAATGTCCCTTGAACTTTATACGATTACAATAGAATGCGGCCATTTAGTGACATATTCTAAAGGAGATCGTTTCATAAAGGTCACATATGTATTAGAATCATTGCGCACCTTTTCAACCAGTAGAAATCAAGACCATGAGACTATTCTTTTTCATGTCATAACTCTTTACTCCGTGAATATTGTACATTCTTTCAACTCTTACATCTCCTCGCTCACGATAACTCAATTTGCCTCTTAAAACATCATGTTTAGAATTTTCAATTTTCACTCATTCTAACTACTAGTTTTTATTAGTTCCCAAAGTATTCCATCAAATACACAATAATAAGAACTATGTCCAAGGTGTTGCATGAGGTTTTTTCGACTTCACACCGAATATAATTTATGAAACTTATTTTTTATTCCTTCTTGACATCACCTTCTGTAGTTTTCAATAATTTTACTGAACTCAAAATCATACTAACTCAGAAGAATTGTGTCCAAACTGGAACGGAAACACAAAATCTAGGTGTAACATCATGGATTTGCCTGAACCATTTTGGTTCCAGTTGCAGCCCTGTGGGGTAATCCAGTCATGTGAAGGAAGAACTGAGCTTACCCTCTTCAGGGGAGTTATGTTGTGCCACCAGCACTCTAATCACATGAGGAGGGACATGCCATGATGGATTCTGTCATCCACCTATATAGTTTGTTGTATGTACAGACTGTCATCATCCTTAAGGTCTTGGTTGGCAGTCATATGGATCCAAATCTTTCAACACAGCTTGGAAGTCAAAATGACTATGGCTTCGCTTTACAATTCAATTCTCCACAATTCTCACCTACAGCAGTCATCCTCCATGAGATTTTCAATGATATAAAAAGGAAAAGGGGTACTCCATAGTCTACAGCATTAGTATAGAAGATTAGGGAGATTGCATCAAGCAGCAAGACCTTCAAGGAGAGCTCTCCTCCTTGTTGCCAGTTCCATGTATTCGGTAAGAATGGCAGGAAAGCAGCCCTATTTGTCCTTCATCAGCGTAGCCATACTGTCAACACCTAAAAACAACCCAAGCTGATCAAGAACAGAAAATACAAAGTCGGATTAGCAAAGGGAGTTGCAACGATGAGAGTATCAGTACCTGCCAAGATGATGGCCATGTAGGAAAAATAAAAGATCACCGAGTTGACAAAACTTGGGCTAATGATTTCCACATCACATAAGATCAGCAACAAGAGCAAGAGACCTTTGAAATAGTCCAAGCAACAGATAGAACTTCAATTTGGCTAGTAAACCAACACACTACAAACATGATTACTCCAAACTTTATTGCTGCCGTAGCAGATTTTCAAGCACACAAGAAAGGAAAAGAACATAGATGATTTAATCAAGTATTAAAGCTATCTCATACCTTTATTCAATGGAATAGAATCTAAATCTCTTCAATTTCAAGCCATCAAATATGCTAGTTAAAGAAAACCAAATATATAGAATGGACTTCATTGTGGTCTAGTTGCTACATTGAGCTCCATCCTTTCCGTTGCTTTGAGTCAGATGCCAATCTTCTCAGTCAAGGTGCAAACTAGGCAAACTTTGCTCGATGTTCTCTTGGAGCCTAAGCTATTTCTACTACAAACAGAATTCCATATCTATCATACCCATGTAAAACCTACACTAGCCAGTCACTAAGTGGCAACCATTTTATTTCCTATACTTGAATGCTGTAACAAGTAAAAGAAGTGCCATCAAGGCTAGACTAATATATTAACACAGCATCCAGAAAAGTGTGAGGTGTCAGAGAACAATGGGCAACTGCCTTGTCTCCTCAAAAATATTTTACTCAAGAAAGTTTCTCCAAATCACAATAAATCTAAAACAACACAGATCAAAACAAAAAATTTATATTCGTCATGACAATCCCGGTGAAACAGAAATCTTAGTGATACATTACCGCACATTACGTATTCAATAATGTTAAACAAGCCAGCCAACTGATCATGATGACCAAAAGAATTACTGTAACAACAAAAAGAAGGTAGCAATATAAGGAACATTGAAACCACATACTGGCTGCTTTATATTTTCTAATTTCATAAACTTGAATGCCACAATAAGAAAAGAAGTGCCATCAAGGCTAGACTAATATATAAACATAGCATCCAGAAAAGTGAGGTGTCAGAAAACAATGGGAAACTGCCTTGACTCCTCAAAAATATTTAACTCAAGAAAGTTTCTCCAAATCACAATAAATCTAAAACAACACAGATCAAAAACAAAAAATTTATGTTCATCACTACAATCCTAGTGAAACAGTACCAGACAGCAATCTTAGTGATACATTACTACACGTTCGATGTACATATTCAATAGCGTTAACAAGCCAACCGACTGATCATGATGACCAAAAGAATCACTGTAACAACAGAAAAAAGACAGCAATATAAGGACATTGAAACCACATACTAGCTGCTGCTTTTTATTTTCTAGTAAGGACATCATTAAATTCTCATATCACAACAAGCCCTGAACAATTTACTTATAAAACTACAACAACCAAAGACAAATATCTTCAGACATGGTTTACAAAAAGGCTTTGATGCTGCAATACAATGGTGTGGTTTTTCTTCAAGGAATGGTAAGACAACCTTGGAAACTGAAGTTTTATAACTTTCATCTATAAAGGAAATTGAAAAGAACAAAGTAACATAAATGTTTCCTCTTAATGAGGAGAGAAAAAGTCGATGCAAGTTTGGATGTCATGCTGATTGCTGATATGCATTTGCTTTAGCTTGCCTGTCTGATAATGCCATAATGCTTCTCATCAGTGAATAGACACCCGATGTAGGAACTTTGTTGCGCTAGAAGAACAATAAAACTATAACATATTTAAAAAATTCTTCAAGCATTCACAATCAATGGCATCTGTTTTGCATATAGCAAGATTACAAAGAGAGGAAATAAATAGGAGAGAGCTATGCATGAATTTAATATCTCCACCAAAAGTATGTTAAGCATGGGAGTCCATATTACATAATTTGATGTGTCAAAATTGTTATATGGCCAATAAATATTGTTACTTAGATGACAGGATTATGGAACAAGTTTATGCAAAAAAAACTTCATGGAAACATACAGTTTGTTGCATGAACTCCCACAATGCACATCCTTATCACTACAATGGAGATGCTCTTTTTGTGACTCAACTCTTAGTCGTCCAAGTCACAAAGGAGCAACTCTATTGTTAAAAAAAAAGGCCAAAACCTGAAAATAAAGCTCACAAAAAACACGCCTTCACTAGTTTCATATTTTCGAAAAAAATGGATATCTTGATTTTCCCTTAAATCACCAATTTGTTGATTCTCAGATGATTTCCCCAGATATCTTATTTCTCATGATATAACGGATCAATCGAGTTAAAGAGGGCATCCTACCTCAACTCTCGTAATACCTTCACGTTTTGACACCCTCCAACTTTTATTTCCACTTTTGTATGTTATATACTTCTATCCTTTCACAAATATTGATAAAAGGGAATTGGTAGAAGTTGCCTGTTTTAGAGAGAAAAGGGTGTGGAACAGCAAGTAAGACAAGAAATAAAATGGGTGCCTCTCCAATCAGCTAAAGTTTAAAGATCAAGAATTGGAATAAGAACAACCTATGGCCACATTTGGTATGGGGACTAGGAATTATTGGGTTTCTTCAAAATTTTCAATTGGGGATCTGAGTTACAATGGAAACTCTCATCCTATGTTTGGCCACATTTTGTAAATCCAACCTAGAATTTCAAAAATTAAGCATCTTTTTTGTTTAGCAAGGGACTCACTGGCATATTTTCTTTGGACAAGAATTTACTCACCGAACCATGGTTGCATTCACAAATAACTGACTGGCCAACAATACCTCAAGTTTCAGACACATAACTGAAACTTTTAAACTGTCAAGGTGGAGGTAAGAGGGTGTGTTGGGTGAATCCTAGGATTTCAAGGGATTTAGTTCCAAATTTTCTCTTTTTTCTGCTTGACTATGTTATAAATCTCAACCTGGAATTTCATATTTTAGTTTTAAACAATTTCATGCATACTTATGTTTATCTTACAATCTTACAATTTTAAAAACCCTAAACCCCGAGATTTCCACATCCCAAGCTCATCCTGATGACTCAAATACCTAGGTTTCATTAAATTCTAAGTAACGATAATAAAGTATTATCGGTGACATCTTAGGATATCAAGGGAAACCCCACTGAAATCCCTGTTTGGAACCCTAGGGATTACTAGGATCTGATTTCTCTATATCAAGTGACCTCTGTTTCATTCAAGAAGTGAATTAAAAGCTAGAAAACATTAAAAATCTTAGAGAAAGAGAGAGAGAGAGAGAGAGAGAGAGAGAGAGGGGAGGGGGGTGGCAATGGAGTTCTCTCTCATTTCTCCTCTTCTCTAACTGCACTTCTTCTCACATGTCAATCAACCTGATCTAATCAGTTTGAAAGTAGATATTGTCATATTGATAGAATTTATAATCCAATGTCACCAATATTGACCCAATCCAACGATTTCAATATAAATGGATCAGATATGGATTGGCATCTATTATGGTGCATGTGATCAAACTAATCAGTTCATAAGTTGATTTGAATCAATCAAGTGTCTACAACTGCTATTAGCCTCAAATATATCCTGCACGAAAGCAACAACAATCATGTCACTCAAATAAGTCCAACAATAACAACAATGACAGTCTGTTCAAATTTGAGCCTACAGCAGCAGGTCCATCTAGACCTCTGGACTAGCTGACTAAGTCCTTTGTCCAAGAAGTCTAAGACTCAAGTCCAGCATGACCTAGTCCTTTGTCCAAGCAGACTATAAGTCCAGCCGATAGCAGAAAGAGAACTTATGAGTTCCCAATCACTCCGTTCAGGACAGAGACTGGATCCTTGTCAGTGCCAAACAAGACTTGCTCAACTCCAAACAAGAGTTGGGAATTCTTATGGATGTCAGACATTGATAAACTTCCAAAAAGAATGTTCAGCTGGGAGAACAGAGAGACAGCAGCAACTTAAGTTACTGCTTAGTTCATTTTATTTAAGCTACTTATAATAAAATTGGCAAAAAAAAGCCTTGAAAGACTCTAGTTCTATGTATTTCTTAGCAAATTATTCAATTTTGAAGAATTAGCTGTTCCTGTGCAGTTCAACTATAAAATAAAGGCATTTAATGACAACAAAAAGCTTACCAAATAAGATAATTATTGAAATATAATTTATTTCATTCATGATTTTAAGCATCAGTTTGATATAGCATATTCTATCAAAAATTTACCGGGTCAGAATATGAGATAAACTATTAGTCATTCAAGATATTATTATCGATTCACCGTCATTATAAACAGAGTACCAAATAAATGGGATGGAATCAACCATCCATTTGAAATCTAGCATGCTGTTGACCCAACAGGATCAGTATTTGTAAATAAAATAGGACTCCTAAAATAGGACTGCAGAGTTAAATGGTAAAATCAAGCTAAGTTGAAATTCCAGTTCCTGAACAAAATTCTTTGGTCCATTGTAGGTTAATCTTACCTGCAAATTAACGTCAATTAATAAGAAATTTAACAGTGTATTAATATACATAGATATAACTTCTTCTGAGAGGCTTCCTCATGAGGAGGATTATAGTAAAGCTTGCTTGTGCATGCAAACCTGCTCTACTAAAACAAGCAATGAAAAAAAAAACCTTTGCAAGAGATCATATTTAAGCAAAGCACAACACTGTACATAATCCCATCCTACCATCTGAAAGGTCAAACAGATCCTAAAAGTTTGCACCAGCAATTATTGTTAATTTCAAGAATAGAGGTACAAGGGAAAGCTATGGCTTACCTATCTGGGAAAAAATCTTTTCTCCAACAAGCAACCCAAATCTAAGGAACAAGCCCAAGCTCATGATGAAATTCACAATAGTCCCACTTCCTCACCAGCATTAATCTGCCCCAAATCCACTCCTTCATCGAACTGCTCCACCTCAAAGCTCGGACTTGTGGCTACCATCTCACCTGCCTCCACTGGTCTTAGCTGCTCACCGAGATCGGTCAACTCCTCAACAGCATCGGTCCTCGCATCCTCACTTGAGTCCACTCGCGCCTCATCCCCACCGCTATCAGGCTCTCCTTCTCCCCTGGCACCAGCCTCCCCTTCTGCCCCAGAAGAATCCGCTGTATCGACAGATTTCCCATCGACCCTTGGCTTCATGTCCGCATGAACCTTCCGGGACTTTCGGTTCTTCCGCATCTCCTTGTCCCTCATCATGCTGGCTTCCGCTGAACTCTCTCCTTCCGCCGACGCCCGCCGACGTTTCCGGCTGCTGCCACCGTCGCCGTCCTCACCGGCGGACGCAACGTCTTCGTCCGACGACAGCTGCACCACGTGGTTGAGATTGGTTCCGGGGCTAGGATTAGCGTTAGGATACGGATTAGGAGGAGGGACAGCGGTAGGCAGGGGAGGCGGAGGAGGCCCAGGGTTAGGGTTAGAATTAGGGCAGGGGTACTGACAAGCATAAGGCAAAGAGTAAGCGCTGGGAGCAACAGGATTGAGATTGGAGCCAGGGTTCGGGCCAGGAGGTACGGCGACGATCCAGCTCTGACCATGGACGCCGGCTGCACAGCCGGCGCAGAGGAAAGACCACTCCACGCGGCAGAAGGGGATGCCGGCCGCCGCCCGGCAGCACTCGCACTCCCTGGGGGCGATCCCACCGCCGAGACCGGGTGGGTTGCCTCGGCCACCCCGGCCGCGACCGACGCCACCGCTACGGCTCGCCATCGCGGTCTCCTGGGCTCGTTGGATGTTGGGGGTCGGGGTTCGGGGACGGGAAAGTCCCGACTCCGAGTTCCTCACGCGCACACGTGGAGGGCTCATCGTCCACAAAAACTCTAGATGAGAGGGGGGAGACCGCGGTGGGTCTTGGCGTCCACCGCGGCAGGTCATATACCGACGCACCGACTCGGGCGCACTCTCTAAGTCCCGCTCACTCCTGTCACAAGGAACCAGGTTGACGCAAACGAACACCAAATTTGATTTCTGTTAAGCCGCTGACTTACGTTAAGCCATTTATAAATCTTACTTTTTTATTTTAAAAAAATGAATAAAAGAACTGTCAAAACAATAAAAGTAGGGAGATAAAAAGGTTGAAGGGAGATAAAAAGGTTGAGAAATAATTTGTCCAACGTAATTGTATGATAAGGATATATCATATAAGATATGTATAATGAAGGTGTGATTTATGTTAATATAATAAATTATAATAAAAAATATACCAACGAATATAACGACCCTACGAAGATTTTTGACTAAAGGTGACGAGAATAAAAGAACTGTTTTGGTAGGGAGATAAAAGGTTGAAGGGAGAGGAAGTCAAAAAGAGAGAAGCGCTTTACAGCTGGAATTAACGATGGAGGTGAAAGAACAAAAATTAATAGATGAGAAAAAGTAATTTGTGTTTCCGTTAATTCTAATTATTAATTAATGTAAATACATTTGGAACAAATAATAAGAAAGATTGGAGTTGATATTCGATCGATTTTTTACGGTAGGTTTATATAGATTATTAAAAAAAATTAGAATCAAACATGCAAATGTAATTGGGAAATCACATTAAATGGTGCACAAGATTTGTGTGCTTCAGTCACAAATTGAGTCAAATAGTGGTCTGACCCAGTAATAGGATAACGAATCAATTAGCTAAATGGCTTGAGGGGTCAAAATTCTGGTCCATGTTCGGCTCACATTTGCATCACCCAAACATGGTCAGGTTGTTGGACGCCCTATACATCCATCACTCGATTCCGTCTCCGTCGATGCCTCGGCATGGCTTCCGCTTCATCACTCTTTCCCTCGCGCCTTCTTCCCATCCCCGGCCATGTCCGCGTTGCGGTGTACAGCAATCCGACGTCCCTTCGTGTCCTTCTCGAGCGACGGCCAAAGGGGGATGCCAAGGCGCGGAGGGCCCTCTTCCGCGTGGCAGCGGAGGGCAGAAACGGGCTGAAGCAGGACGACGACGGCGGCGGCGGAGTGGACCTGGGGAGGGACCGCCAGCGGCCGGCTTTCAACCTCCGGTGGCGAGATCTCCTGTCCCCTGACCCCGAGAACATTGCGGCCGTCGCGTTGACCGGCCTCCTCACCTGGGCCAGCGTCCAGGTCCTCTTCCAGCTCTTCGTCATCTCCGTTGCTATCCTCCTTGCGGCCGTCAAGTACTCCTTCGTCGCCGCTCTCCTCCTTATCATACTGATCACCCTCCTTTGATTTATATCCTGATGTGCTCTCACTATGTGAATAGGAGTAGTTCCCACGCAGGAACCAATTGGATGGTGTGCTTCGTCATTTTTTGCTTTAAGTATGTGGAATTGGGGGTTTTTTTGCCTTGAGAAAGTTGTTCATAGATAAATTATATCTATAAATTCTAATTAAAGATCCTTGTTGCACTTTGGGTGGACGTTCCTTAATCAACTAAGAAAAGGGTTTTAATCAGCTTACTCCATAATCTTCGTTAACTCGCACATTTTTATCTGGTAGCGCTGATGTAAGAAATGTCATTTTAAACTTCTGTTGGGAAGCAAACTGCAAGACAATGTTTACCAAATTGGTTTACAAACTTCTTCACACAGAAGCAAAGCTGTGCTATCTTTGTTGGGAAAAGATTGGTATTAAGTGGACCTTCTATAGATTGAGAACATTCAGATATAGATCCATTAAAGATTTACTTCTTGGCTTGGGGATTGATTTGGTACTTTTTGTTACTATTGGTTATTGTGTGTTAGAATGGACTCTGGAAGCTGGTTGTTTTGGTGGTAGTGAATGGATATGCACCGCATGGAGGGCCAATGCTTTACTAACCTTCTGGAGATCAGCAGAAACTGTATGTCATTCTTTGGAAATGGAATCATTTGATTTGGGTTTTACACATGTAATTGATTAGTCTAGCAATTGTTGTTCGGCAGCAAAATTCTATGGTATTTTGGTGGTACAAACATTTGATTTGGATTTGACACCTGTATTTAATTAGTATACAAATGCAGTTGTTGTTCCACAGCAAAATTCCAAGGCAGTAAGGACTGGGACTCGTTTAAGTTTATTCCCATCATTTTGGGCTTGGCCTTAAAGTCAAGAAATTATGTTGCTCTAATTTCGTATCTGATCTCTGACCAGCATATTGTAGTTTAGGCACTATTGAGGCTGAGACACAATGAACCATTCTACCCATGAAACTCAAGATATGCTCCCAAAATTGGGATGTACCAACTTGGTTGCTAATTAGAGACTCTAACCAGCTTATATTACTGAGGACGTAGGAACTTGGAACAGGATCATGATTTTAGTTCTTTGCTCGAGTATCAATTTTGATGAGTCCTTTGGAGTATTCATTCTGGTATTCTTGGCTACTTCTGCATAGAGTTTTTATAATACAAAACTAATAGGTTCTCTTGATTTTAAAAAATTAAAAGGTCCTCTGGCAAAACAGAAACAGTATATTTTCCTTGCATGACAAAAGTGGTTTGTAAACCAACTTGAATGGTTATACGATACTGTTATTTTTTTCTTTTTTTTTATTTTCTTTGAGAATTGAGTTATGCAAAGATGTGAACCATTAATGTAATCAGATCAGATCGCATTAATTCATTGGTGAGAATGTTTAGGAGCCTTTAGTGTTCCCAAATAAGCCTGTATTAGTGAGTTCTGATAGATATTGTAACAAGCACATTTATGGTGCTTTCTATGCCATCTCTGAGATTTGATAATTTTCTTCTTGTCTATATTTTGTATCAGAACAGGGTTTTCGGGACTAATTTATATTTTGGAGAAGGCTTTTGACAGATACATTGCTTTGGTTATTAACATCTCTTTGCACTTTCTTTACTGATTTATGGAAAGAGTTCTTGGGTCCTTCTCATTTTGGCATGCATGTTATATGTTGGTTAATTAGTTCACGAGTCTGACTAAGGCCACACATATTTCTGTTTTGTGGAAAAGTTGTTTATTTCAACTCCTGTTTATAAACAATATACACAGCAACTTGATTGTCAATTATAAATTTAAATAGGGTGGACAAATTGGCTCCTTCTTGGCGATGCAAAAGCAAAAACATGCTATATTTTGTTGTGAAGTGGTTGCTAGTGAGTGGTTTTATTGGAATAGGAACTGAATAAAAGTAGACTATGAATTTGATTTATTTGTCCTAGCAACAAGTGATTATGGTTTCTAATTTTCTAATATTTGGTTATATGTGTTGTGCCCTAAATTCCTGTCAGTAAATCTGATTTTTCTGTTATCTTTCAATAAATTGAAGGCAGTTAGCCTATAACAAAACACAAGTTATGACACTCTCATAGTTATTTTGTATCGCTGTCATTTAATACAAATCATGTTTGCTTCTTATCCTCTCTTGTAAAGGTACATCAAAACACATTGTCAATATGGCTTGCATGTTTATGCTTTCTACATACAACATATGAACTAATGTTAATTGCAGGAATTTCCTATTTACACCTCAGTTTAGTCCTACATTGGAATTCTATATTGGGAGTGGGCAAACACTAAGATTGACTTATAAATGTAGGTTTAATGATTGTATTATTATTAACTTTGGCTTAAACATTTTAGGTTAGTGGTTTATACTTAATGAAGTTAACAAGTCAGTTATCTCATTAGGCTAAGTCATGACAATTGGTATCAATACCGACCTAGTATTGGGGCATGGTGAGAGACTTGAGTAGGAAAGGCCTATCTGTAGACATGGTCAAAAGGCACATCACAACATGGAGCTACTACTGGGCTAAGTCTTACATGCCCTATGTTAGGGCTTGATTCTACACTATGTTGAATCTTGACGTTAACATCAAATTGTTTAGTGGGGTAGACAGTAGAAGTGGGTAAAGATTAAGATTGATTGTCTAATAGGTGTACTATTACTAACTTATGCACATTTTGGACCAACGATGAAGAATCAACGAAGTTAACATGCCAATTATCATAATTAGACTAGCTCATGACAATAGGTCATACAACTATTTATTCAAAATAAAATGTTTTAATCCATAAGTTTTACCTTATTAAATGGATTACAATTACAGGAATTGACAAATTAAATCTTAGACATAAAAGCAATAGAACATCTCACATAGGCAACATCAGAATTTTGTTTACTGTTATTCTGTCTTTGTTACAAGTAAACTCAGGACTTGTGACAACTTTCAAATTGAACAATCTTTGCTGTTCAGAAATATAAAATAACTAATTTAAACATGCAAAGCTCTTCAACAACAAAAACGCTGGAGCTTGGTTGAGCATTCATCTAGCTAAGAAACTGAGTTTTGAGTTCAGAGATTCAATCTTTGATCTGTCCGTTCATATAGCTAAGAAACTGAGTTTTAAGTTCAAAGATTCAGTCTTTGATCTGTCCATTCGGTTCATTCATTGGGTAAGTGGTTCCACTAAAGTAATACTAATGTATATGGAGTTATTATTATTAATACGATTTTGGAAAATAAACAACGTATACAAACTGTTCAGAACATTTTGCAATGATAGCATCTATGAGGCTGTCATAAGGACATTAAGATGTATATTTGACATAAATATGTCATGATCTCTTCCTTTCTTTATAAAAATATCTATTTTTTAACTATATAATTCAGTAGAGACATGTGATAATGATTCACCCTCTAGTTAAGTTTTGGAAGCATAATGACTGTATAAAAGTGGTTCAGTTGTAACTCAAAACACATATGCACCAGAATGATAATGACCAAAAATATTGAACGAAGGAAAAATGATATCAAAGAAGAATGCTTGCTCCTGGAAAGTTATAATAATCGCTGGAAGTGGAATATTCATGTGGTTCATAAAGGTTCTTCCATGAATATCCATCTAAGTGTTTGACTTCATTAACTTATATTTGAGTTTGTGCACCTTACAAACTTTTTCATCCATTTGAAATCCCCTCAACTTGTGGATTTCAACTTGGGCCAGGAATTCCTTCTAAGTATGCCTCACACGCAACAGCCCTTTAACTTGAGGAAGTTGGATTCAACTTGAGAAAATCATACAAAATTTAAATCAGATGACTAAGAATTCTGTGATTGCAACTGATTGTAATAAGTGCAGTCTATATAATTGAATGCAGAGAGCATTATTCTGCCATATGCTGTGATTCCTGTAATAAGGTATGATCTCCATAAATGTGTATCTATTTTCTGCACTAAATCAAGTATAGGAAATAACCTTGTGATTCTTATAAGCTGTTTGAAGAAACTATTGCGATATTATTGCTGTATAATTTTAGTTTACCATGCTTCTTTTAATACTTGCCAACAATTCTTTTCCTCAGTAACATCCATTATTCTCATAGTTACTTATATGTCCATCTTCATTGGGACAAGGATCATTGCCTTCATCAATTGTTGATGTGTCCAGGTTTAATACAGCTGATTCAAAAATGTTATATGACATATGATGCTATCAGTTTTTTGCAGATTGGTTGCTCGAATAGTAATGCTTTTGATAGAGGTCGAACTGTTTATGTCGTTTGGATTTCTGAAGTTGAAATTCTAGTACTGAAACTCTTTTCTTCAGTATCACAATTTTGATATCCCCTTTTTTTTTATCTCTATATCATTATTCTATAATGGGAAGAAAGATCTGAAATAGTAAGGAAGAAATCTCATTTTCTGAAATAGGGAAACTAGAAATCCCATTTTCTTTATTTATCATGAAAGTTATACAGAAAGTGAATTAGCATCTATTCTAGATTGATGTATTTTTTATACTATTAAATTGGTATAATAAGCTAAATTGAGTTGATTAGTCCAACTGTTGTGGACTATGATTTGATTGTCCTTGGTCAAATTGATACCACAAATCCTTCAAACGAGGTGTGATTTGTGGACATAACATTATTGCTCTCTTTATCCTTGGATACCTATGAGAAGCAGGGTATCGGATGCGGTGAATTCTAAGGTAATGGATACAGCAATTCATCAGCTATAATCCCTTTATCCTGCATTTGCGATTACATGGTGACTTGTTTGGAATGCAGGTTGTCATTGGATTTGCGGAACTCAAGATGCACAGAACGATGAAACAAGAAGTAATAGTTTTGAGGACAAGAGTTGCACTTGCAGCCTTGCAATTTGTTGCAACAAGTTGGTTTCATGATGATGTAGGGTGCAAAAGTAATCCCAAATGTGCATTTGGCCATCATATAAGCTATCAAAAGTATTTAAAGGGTGTTAGCTCTAAAATATGTTGAAATTGAATCGAAAAAATTGAACTCAAATTAAACCTAAATCGAATTGATTCATCAATAATTTAATTTTGAATATTATAAATGGTTGTAGTTTAGGATGGTACTTTTTGATTTGATTAATCGATTT